CGTCTGATAATTTTTGAAATTGTTTAGTTCTAAATTGATAATTTTCCCGTCACTGTTACAACATTGTATTTTGTCGCTGAAGATTATTAGTTCAAAATAAGAAAATCCTTGTAAAAAAAAAAATTGAGACTGGAGCATTCGGACATATTTTCCAATATTTTCATTCTCCCGTGCCTCCACTTATCAAAAGTTCGATCCGGTCAACGCCCCTTTCACTTCTAGCATTTCACCCTAATTCTTACACCTCCCTCGTGCAACATGATTTCCCATTAGGCAATAGTTCAAGAGCTATAGGAACAAAACAACAACAACAACATGTGTACAAAACAATTGTTCATTGTGTTGGATTTCACCCGTGAAACAGAGACATCGAATGAATAAAAATATGTGTGTATGTATGTACGTATCGGAACAAAAACAAAAACAGCAACACCAATATCAGTTGGAATCGCACAAAGCTAGAAACGTAGTTACCAACAATGGCAACAATGAAAACAATGTTTTTAACATTTGAGTTTTTGTGCTATTGTTGTCAGTTTTACTAAAAATTATTGACTTTATAATATAACGAACGTATACACACACACCGACTCACACACACACAGAGCTACACTCATGCCAATAGACACAAAGGAACTATTTTTACACACAGGGAATTTCATTCCGTTACGGATATCTGTTGGTATTATTATACGAGCTGGGAGCGAGGGCGGACACCCGGACGGACGGACGAACCAACCAACCAACGGATACGACTACAATTCATGTGGAGCAGCAGCAAATGCCAATGCTATTATTGTTGCATTCAATACCAAGCATATCCTTTTATTTTTGGTATTTTGCAATTATTCAGGATATTGGTTTGTGTTCAAATTACACATTATTCGGTTCTTGGTTTAAATGTTCGAACATTCTTGCAATCCTTCTTCTACCTTTAAATTCAAGGGAGGAAGGAAGAGTAGGAGTTTGTTTTTTTTTTCATACAAAAATAATGATGAGTAAATAAGTTATTTTCAGAATATAATTCTGGGGACTTGAATTATTGTAGAGTAGCTATGGTTGCACAGTGTTAAAAAATAATGATTTTTTTTTTGTCATACCATTTCTTTGTCAGTTTCCAGAAATAGTAGGTTCCCAGGAAAATCTTGTGCGTGTGTCTGTGTCACTGTAGTCCACCGAGAACATGTCTTTAAAATACGAACATGACACTTCGACACATGGACATTTCTATGCTGGTTATTCTATTGGACAGCTGCACAAATTCCTTTAAAAAAAACTGTATATTATTAGAAACAAATAATAGAAGTTTTGTACATTTCCAAAAAATAATACAATATATTGAAGTATTATGGAAAGAACAAATGTATAACATGCTATGTGTATGCTCATTGATATGTTTAGTTTAGTTTTTAATTCTTAAAAAAAAATTGGCAGATAGTTTTTAAAAAGAAAACAAAAATGGAAATTAAGTTCATCAGGGCGTATGATAATTGTCAAATTGTATACGACCGAGTGAACAGAAGCAAAATTCGAGAACTAACAAATTGCACATGTGGAAATTTCTACGTTACTTTTATCCCATATAACAAGACCTCCTGATTCGGGCGCTTTGAAGGATTCTATCTCAATTTCCAATCCAACCAGCTCTAATTTGCATTTTCAGATAATCTGTTGTTAGATTTACTCTTTACAAAAAACATTTAATATGGGTTTATATTTAATTTATTTGAGTATAGCGATTTCGGGGACTTATCTTAAACCTGCATACCAAATAATTTCAGATTTTGAGTAAATTTTGTTTGCACCAAAAAGTACAAGTTTCTGAGAACACTTCAGCTTTGTCTGGAAACTGCAAATATATTTCCAGTATTCAACCTCTAATATAAAACTTCAAAAAAAAAAGTAAGTTCCTCCGGGCCGAACTTTGAATACCCTCCACCATTCGGTACAAATTTAACAATTTTCAAAAAAAAAAAAAATAAAATCCGTTAAAATCTTTAAAATACAGAATGTAGCCGTACAGACAATTTTCTGTCATATGCTGTAGTATCCATAACGAACGTCAAATACTAAATCTAAAATAGTTCGGATAAATAATGTCTCTAAAATCATCAAAATACCGAATATCGGGAGGTACCGTTATATGAGGGCTATACGAAGACGTGAATCTACATAACAGATATTATGCATTTGAGTAAAATTTTATCAACCTGCTTCATTTCGTTCGGAAGCTAGTGTGATTTCCACAGACGGACAGACGGACGAACATTGATAAATCGACATAAAATTTTATATCGATCAAGAATATCTTCATAGAATAACTTTCTGAGCCGATTTATGCATGTCAGTGCGTTTGTACTCCCATCTGTCCGATTTTCGACCCATGTCATTTTGTGAACAAAATGCAGGTCGCATTTAGTGATGAAATTTTCCAAACAATATTAGTTTGGCCCAAGGCCAAACACTATTGAAATTGGTGAGAAATGGTTCAAGCTTAGATATAGCTCCCATATATATCTTCAATCAATTTCGGGTTAATGGAATGTACACCTTCGCTTGGCCACCAGAACTCAAGCGCATGCCGTGGTGATGATGTGGACCGCCATAACAGCCGATGGTCGTTCTCCGCTCGTATTAATCGACCGTCGCATCAGAATCAAAGCCGAATATTATCGAGAAAATAATCTGGAGGGTGTAATCATTTTGACCGCAAACTTTGGATATTCTAACAGGATTCATCTTTGGTACCAGATATCAGATATAACTCTGAAATAAGTGTTTCAAATTTTGCAAAGATCGGATCTGATTTGGATATAGTTCCAATATATAAATCTTAAATCGATTTCGGGTTAATTGTGCACCACATGACCAATATCAGTCCAATTGACCTGAATTTTTGCACATCCGAGCGAATTCAGTCTGGAAGTAAGTATATCAAATTTGTTGAAAATCGATTTAGATTTTATATATACGCATAATGGCCCCGGCCCCGCTCGACTTATGACCTTTCCTTAGTGGTTATTAATATTTTTTTAAGAAAAATAGAAGCACAAAAGGAATTGACAAAGAATTCTCCCTCTCTCTTCCTTCCCGACACTCGCAATAAAAAAGACTTACCGTGACGAAACTTCCTTAATAAAAATTGGGACAATGATTAACAAGTTCCGACATGGAGGTCCAGTTTTTTGCATAATTGTGTTTTATCCATTAAATTTGCATTTGGTGAGAGCCCCAAAAACCTAGTTTAATTCAGGGAAGCATTCTATCTCTTTGAAATATTGCTCAGACAATTATATTACCCCTAGTAGGTTTGGTATTAAAAATGGGACATATTGGTCCACGTTTCGGCAAGGCCCCACATATAGCGTTACTTCATAATTTTCGGTTTGAATGTTTTGACTACAACTTTAAATAAAATCATCTGTAACATGACATTTTAAGTTCGGAGTAGATGTAAATGGCATTGGCCCCACATTACTGTACCTCCTATTTTTCGATATTTTGAAGGTTTCGAACACGAATTTAAACGAATTTATGTGTAACTTTTGGGTTCAGAGCTGACAAAATGTCACCCTGCTAAATTTTGTGATCCACTATTATATATTGACCAAATATAACAGCACTTCGTAATTTCAAGAATTTTGAGGGTTTCTGACAGGGTTTTTTTACAAACTTATTATTTGGATTTTTATTTTTCAGTGGAAAAAAACTATAAAAATCGGTCCACGTTTTGGTATAGTCCCCATAAAACGGTACCTCCCGATATTCGGTATTTTCATGATTTATGCCACATTTTTTCACGGATTTTTCTGAACATTGGTATTTGTAGGTCGTAATGGGTTGTAGCTCCGGTGGCGAAACATTGCATGTATGGGTCCACGCTTTGGTATAGCCCCCATATAAAGGTACCTCCCAATATTCGGCATTTTGATCATTTTTGCCACATTTTTTCACGGATTTGTCTAAAAATTGGTATATGTTGGTCATAATGGGTTGTAGCTCCGGTGGCGAAACATTGCATGTATGGGTCCACGATTTGGTATAGTCCCCATATAATTGTACCTCCCGATATTCGGTATTTCGATGGTTTTTGCCACATTTTTTAACTGATTTAATTAAAAATTGGTATTTGTAGGTCATAATGGGTCCTAGTTCGTGTGGCAACACATTGTATGTGTAGGTCCACGTTTTAGTATAGTCCCCACATAACGGTACCTCCCGATATTCGGTATTTTGATGATTTATGACACATTTTTTCACGGGTTTGTCTGAAAATTGTATTTGTACCTCATAATGGGTCCTAGTTCGTGCGCCGAAACATTGTAATTATAGGTCCACGTTTTGGTATAGTCCCCATATAACGGGTACCTCCCGATATTCGGTATTTCGATGATTTTTGCCACATTTTTTCACGGATTTGTCTGAAAATCGGTATTTGTAGGTGATAATGGGTTCTAGCCCCTTTGGCGAAACTTTGCATGTTTTCACGATATGGTATAGCCCCCATTTAACGGTACCTTCCGATATTCGGTATTTTGATGATTTTTGGCATATTTTCCCATGAATATATTTAAAAATTGGTGTATGTGGGTCATAATGGGCTCTTATGTATCCTTTACCCTAAGGTGGAGGGCATTAAAAGTTTGGCCCGGCCGAACTTTGTGTTTTTTTTACTTGTTTAATTTTTGTATCAGCAACAAAAAACAAAACTGAGTTCAGCCAGAAAAAATAATTCATCATATGACTAGGATGTTCCTCCTTAAATCTCTCTCATTGTCTTAAATTGGGTTATCAGTCAAAGTAAAAGATGAGGAAGGTAACCTCACCATTAAACAGATTTTTTAAGACAGAAACCCAATTTGCTGTGAACCAAATGTATTGATCATCAAAAAATGGATCTAGATGTAACTAAAATTTTTGGATGAAAAATGGTAGCATAAATACTGTTGTAAAAATCAATATTTCATTATTATTTTAATATTAAGAATGCTCAAAATTAATTATTAATAAGTAATTAGAATTATCATTTAACTCATTAAATTAACTTGCTTACTGTACATAAACTATTTATCAGCAGGGTAAGAGAACGACGAGAATGGTCAGTGGAACTTGTTTCATCATTCTGTTTTTACCTATGCTGTTTTACTAAGTGTAATGATTGTTGTTGCTGCCGCTCTCATACTCACTGAAACGAGTGTCATAAAACTGGTATCGTGTGCTAAGCGAACCATACTTTTAACTCAATGATAATTTGAGTGTTACATTATTTAGGTTCAATCATTTTGCATTGATTTCATATTCCTTCTTCTATTTTGACATCAGAACGAACAACATCAAAGCAGCAAGTATTCCACTAACCATTCTCTTCTTAGTTCTTTTATTTCAGCAAATTTTTATTTCTGAGCATATGTACATGCAATTGTCATTTACATTATTCAATAAAATTTGTGAAAAATTAATTACTTAAATTAACTAAAAATCAAATAAATATCTTTACATATAAATTTGGTGCCGAAACCCGGGAAAGTTAATTTCGAAATTTTGTAAAATAAAATAGTTGGTGCAAGTCTGTGTATTAAGAAGTGCTTAAACATGAGTTCGCTTGACATTTTAATCAAAGAACAACGTGGTCTGCTGGATTTGATTAACAAGCATGAACTTGGATTTAATAAAAAATCCAGAGAAGAAAAAACTCATGGTTATTTAAATTCCCTGGCACAACTTCTTGATGATATCTTCACTAAATTTGAGAGCCAGCATGGAACAATTGTCAGACTAGTGCATGAATCATCAATGTCTGAAAGTGATGTTCCATATTTAACAGACGAAGTGTTTTTCCATTTCTCTGAAAAATATTTAACTTTTAAGGGACATTTGATTGATTCCCTTCCAGATAACTCAACAACACATTCACCCTTAACTAGCACGTTTTCTGCGCCGAATAATCGTTCAGAAACAATATTTTCAGACACTCGCCTTCCAAAGATAAATTTACCAAAATTTTCTGGCGATTATATCGATTGGGTTCCTTTTCAAGACCTTTTTTCATCGCTGGTGCATAACAATGATTCGTTGAACAAAGTGCAAAAGTTCTTTTATTTAAAAAGTAGTATTTCAGGGGAAGCTGCAAATTTGATAAAAACTTTTTCAGCCACTGAGGCAAATTACGATTCAGCGTGGCAAATTTTGGAGGCGAGATACCATAACAAACGAATGTTAGTTGGAAATCTCATTTCTAAACTTTTTAACATACCAAAGTCAGATGGAGGTTTTCAGTCTATCAAAATCATTCTCGATTCTACACAAGAATGCCTCGCATCTCTAAGCAACCTTGGACTAAGTACAATTAGCTGGGATCCTATCCTTATCCATTTAATCATTCAAAAACTTGACTTACAAACTAGAAGAGATTGGGAAAATTCTCTCAAATCCAGTTCAAACTTGCCATCTCGTTCTGAACTTTTTTCATTTCTTGAAAGAACTTTTCGAACTTTGGAATCGCTAAGCGACCAATACCCTACTTTAACGGGTAAACCTAAATTTACTAAAACCAAGTTTTCAAAGAAGACATCTTGTCACACTGGAAGGATATCAAAATCCAATCAAAGAAATTGTCTCTATTGTGAAAAAAGTAATCACTCTCTTCCAAAATGTTATAAATTTCTCTCGTTATCCTTGGACTTGAAAAACGAGTTCATATTAAGCAAAAATATATGCCGCAACTGCCTTACTGTTGGACATAACATAAATAACTGCGACTCACCTTTTCGTTGTGTAATTTGCAGGGAAATGCATCACACAATTTTGCATCCTAATGAACCATCTGGTCATATGTATGCAGGAAAATCTGATTCAAACCAGAATTCTCAAATATCATCTAATAGTTCAAATACGCACCCATCTATACTTTTGTACACAATTCGCCTAAATGTTTCTAAAAATGGCCATACAATTTCGTTACGGGCATTGTTAGATCCTGGTTCGCAAGGGAGTCTTATTACTGAAGCTGCAGTGCAACTTTTAGGGTTGAGAAAAATGAGAAATCAATGCAATGTCATTGGCGTAGGTGGTGGTCATGGAAATATATCCAAATATTCTGTTAATATTGATTTGCTTAACCGCAAAAATCAGTCTGTGCTTTTATGTACGGCATTAGTGCTACCAAATTTGTCATCGTATACTCCTGGTATTTCATTCAAAAATATTTCTTTGCCAGATATTGAAACAGAAGATCTTGCTGATCCTTTCTTCTATAAAACAGACAGAATTGATCTAATATTAGGGTCGGACGTTTGTGCAAAAATTAAAATTCCATCTGAATCTTTTGTCCACAAAGGACTTTTCTTTCAGAATACTCACTTTGGTTGGGTCTTTTCAGGCACAAGTGACAGTTTGCTATCACATAATATTCATATACACAATACCAATTTAGAAAAAATACTGAGATCATTCTGGGAACAAGAAGAAGTGTCTGTAAAAAGGTCTCCAAATCAAGAGGAAATATTATGTGAGAATTATTTCAAAACCTCAACAACGCGTCAAGAAAATGGACGTTATTTAGTAAGTTTACCTTTTAAATCAATAATATCCTCTAATAAAACCCCATACTTGCAAAATAACGCCCTGAATGCACTTAGAAGACTACGGCATTTGGAAGTATCATTTTCGAAGAGACCTGAATTTAGCCAGGCCTATAAAACGTTCATGAATGAATATGAGACTTTAGGTCATATGACCAAAATTGGTAGCTATCCAGACGATGTACGACAAAACTCCTACTTCCTTCCCCATCACGGAGTCTTTAAAGAGGACAGCAGTACAACCAAACTTCGTGTTGTATTTGATGGCAGTAGCCACTTTCCAGAATTCAATTCCCTCAATGATATTTTAGCTCCTGGTCCAGCCCTGCAAAACGACCTTCCGTCTATTATTACCAAATGGCGCACCCACAAAATTGCATTTAGTGCGGATATCGAAAAAATGTTCCGTCAAATCGACGTTAATCCTGATCATCGCAAATTCCAACAAATTTTGTGGAGACAGAATTCCTCAGAGCCTATGCATATTTATGAGCTTAACACTGTCACCTATGGCACCACAAGTGCGCCCTACTTAGCAATCCGTGTCCTACATAAATTAGCAGAAGATTTCAACAATGAATATCCAAAGGCAGCCAAAGTTTTAGTAGCAGATTCGTATGTCGATGACATTTTATCTGGGGCTGAAACGATAGATGAAGCCCAATTATTATACACTGATTTATGCGATCTTTTGAAGTCAGGTGGCTGCAATCTTCGTAAATGGAACTCGAATTCTGCAGATTTCCTAAGCAAAATTCCAGAAGCTTGTCGAGATTCCTCTTCAACTATATGCTTCAGCAAAGACAATGTGGTTAAAACGCTAGGTGTCCAATGGAATATTAATAGTGATTCTTTTTGCTTTAATGTAATACTGGATGAGAACCCAACTATCTCAAAGAGATCGATCTTGTCTGAGTCGGCTAGGCTATATGATCCATTGGGCTGGTTAACTCCAACCACATTAATTTCAAAGTCCATATTTAAAAAACTCTGGGAGCATGTTTTAGATTGGGATGACAAACTACCAACAGAGTTAGAAAAGGCTTGGACAAAACACAGGATCTCTTTGAGGGAACTCACCAAAGTTAAGATCCCAAGATGGATAAAATGGTCTCAACATTCGCCAATTGAACTTCACTGTTTCTGTGATGCTTCTACCGAAGCTTATGCTGCTGTTGTATACTCTAGGGTGAGTACTCCTAAAGGCATTGTTGTTTCAATTTTGCAAGCCAAATCGAAGGTTTCTCCCATCAAAACGGTGACTATACCCAGATTGGAGCTTTGTGCAGCAAAATTACTAGCGCTTCTAACAGAAAATGTAAAGAGGTCATTATCAGGATATTCTATCCGCAATATTTTTTACTGGAGCGATAGCACAACAGTCTTAAGCTGGATTAGAAAACCTCCTTCACAGTGGACCGTCTATGTGGCTAACAGAGTAGCTGATATACAAAGGCTTAGTAGTCCACTTCAATGGAATTATGTTCCATCAGCTCTAAATCCCGCTGACTGCGCTTCCAGAGGTATATCAGCGAGTGATTTATTACATTGTAAGATGTGGTGGTGGGCCTCAATTTTTGCAAGAGCCCCCTTCCTCTTGGCCTAAGTCTCTTCCACACCTTAATACAAGTGAAGAAATCAGGAAACCAAAGATGACTACACATAATCTCGTAAAAAAGGTTTACAACGAATTGCTTACCAAATATTCAAATCTTCAAAAATTATTGCGAGTAATATCTCTCTGTTTTCGGTATGTGCATAATATTAGAAATCCAAAAACAAGAATGGTAGGATGTTTGACAGCTCTAGAAAAAATTAATACTCTGCACTTTTTAATAAAAGAAGTCCAGGCAATTGATTTTCCCCAAGAAATAAAACTTCTTTTAAACAATACTCCACTAAAACATAGCCCATTGCTAAAACTTACGCCTTTTATCGACGAACAAGGTGTTATACGAGTGGGAGGCCGTCTGCAAAACTCAAATTTGGAGTACAGTATAATGCATCCAATTGTTTTATCAAAAGGTAATCCACTACTATTAGAGATGCCAACTAATTATTAGAGATGCCCATGAAAGAACTCTGCATGGCGGTATTACTCTCACAATGTCTTACGTTAATAGACACTATTGGATATTATCCGGAACTCAATTAACAAAGACAATAATTTCACAATGCTTGAAGTGCTTTAGATATTCTGCAAAGACCTCTCAACAAATAATGGGAAATCTACCACCAGTACGACTACATATTAGCCGACCATTCAAACATAGCGGTGTAGACTATGCTGGGCCAATTATGATTAAAAATTCCACTCTAAGGTCAGCTGTGACTTCCAAAGGTTATATATGTTTATTTGTGTGTATGGTGACTAAGGCATTACACTTAGAAGCTGTCACAGACCTCACAACAACAGCCTTTCTAGCAGCTTTCAAACGCTTTGTATCCCGCAGAGGCATATGTACTGACGTTTATTCCGATTGTGGAACAAATTTCGTAGGCGCTTCTAAAGAGCTACAAGTTCTTCAAAAAAGGTCCCTTAAATCTTTGCCATCGGAACTACGCCACAATCTAAATACAAATGGTACTACATGGCACTTTATACCTCCCGCATCACCAAACTTTGGAGGACTATGGGAGGCAGGTGTAAAATCTGTAAAGTACCATCTAAAACGTATTGTTGGTGACAGGCTACTTAGTTTTGAGGAACTTTCCACTTTACTTTGCCAAATTGAAAGCTGTTTAAACTCGCGACCTTTGTGCCCTTTGTCATCTGATCCATCGGATCATGAAGCCCTGACTCCAGCCCACTTCTTAATTGGTGAACCAACAAATTGTATCCAGCAAGAAACTCTACTTGACATTAATGAAAACCATTTAGATCGATGGAAAAGATTAGAACGAATGAAACAACATTTCTGGAAACGTTGGCGCAACGAGTACCTCAATCGGCTACAGTCTCGCCCAAAATGGTTGCATGGAACCAGAAATGCTGAAATTGGTGATCTTGTGCTGATTGCAGATGAAAGATGCGGCCCTGGACAATGGCTTCTTGGCCGAATAACCGATGTCCATCCAGGAACTGATGGCAAAATCAGGGTGGTATCTGTTTCAACTAAAAATAAAATTATGAAAAGACCTATAAGTAAAATTTGTTTTCTTCCAGAATGCGATTCCCAGAAAAACATTGGAAATGCTGAAAATTATTCATAAAAACAAACTTGTATACAATCTCTGAACACATATTCCCGAAAGATGTCTTACTACAATCACTATTCATGTTCCCCTACTAAAGATTTTGCTCAATGAGTAAGACGGTGCCTTTGAATTAGCGCTGTGAGTCGGAGCATAGCGGAACTTGCGAGTTCGACTAAAACACTCCCACCGTGTGGCCGTCTTATTCAAATTTACGTATGAACTTCGTTCATAAGGGGGGAGCATGTTGTAAAAATCAATATTTCATTATTATTTTAATATTAAGAATGCTCAAAATTAATTATTAATAAGTAATTAGAATTATCATTTAACTCATTAAATTAACTTGCTTACTGTACATAAACTATTTATCAGCAGGGTAAGAGAACGACGAGAATGGTCAGTGGAACTTGTTTCATCATTCTGTTTTTACCTATGCTGTTTTACTAAGTGTAATGATTGTTGTTGCTGCCGCTCTCATACTCACTGAAACGAGTGTCATAAAACTGGTATCGTGTGCTAAGCGAACCATACTTTTAACTCAATGATAATTTGAGTGTTACATTATTTAGGTTCAATCATTTTGCATTGATTTCATATTCCTTCTTCTATTTTGACATCAGAACGAACAACATCAAAGCAGCAAGTATTCCACTAACCATTCTCTTCTTAGTTCTTTTATTTCAGCAAATTTTTATTTCTGAGCATATGTACATGCAATTGTCATTTACATTATTCAATAAAATTTGTGAAAAATTAATTACTTAAATTAACTAAAAATCAAATAAATATCTTTACAAATACAGTTGGGGTTCTTGATTTACATTTCATAGGTTGCAAATGAACCATTACCTCTGCTAAGTCAACTTAATTATCTGAACACAAATTGATGTACGGGTACATTATAAACAATGGTTTTATTACAATCCCCTACCCACTCTTAAGAAAATATTTACATATTGCCATTCACTTTGATGTTTTCCAAAAAAAAAAAAAAAAGAAATTAAGTAATTTTGTTGTTTCCTCCTTTACCTTAGTAATGAACTCTCTGTCTCTCTACCTCTCCGTCTCACACACCCACCTAATCTGGAGGAAATGACAAAAACATTAGCTTTTCGTAGTTAACATTTTATAATTATGTTCACATCAACATTATACAAAATTATATCCTTTAGAAAACATCCTGTTGTGTCGATGTAAAGGACAGGCAACGTCAATGCACAGAACACGTACATACACAGACGGAACATACTTACACACTCATATATACATCTATGCATCTCTATATATAGATCATTATATATGTATTTATGTAAGTAGAATACATGCACATATATTAACTCATCATAAATAAAAAATAAACATGTAGTATACCAACACAACTGCATGCATGGTCACATATGTATGTATGTGTGTGTGTGTGTGTCGTAAAAACAATGTTACCAAAAATATCCTTCCATACCTGAAACAATGAAAACAAAACAAACATCGTTGATCAACAAAGAGGAAATAATGTTTTAATGCCATTCGTTGTAGTTGGTTGGCGTGGGACCACCCACCCCCACGATTTACAATGTCTTCCTTTCCAGCTTGACGTAGTTGATGCTAGTCTTCTTCTTCATCATCTCAGTCCCGTATTTGAAGTCTTTGTGTTTTTTTTTTCGGGTTATTTATTTACACCAACCTTTCTCTTAATTTACAGCTGAGCGAATTGGGACGTCCATTTACAGGTGGCTCCTGGTGTGGGAAAGCCACAGGACCACAGTTATATTTCAGTGAAACATCAACAGTGACAGCTTCGGTTAAGGTAAGTACAAAACAAAAAATTGTATACGTATGTGTTTGTGTGTATATGTAAAACATACAAAGCAATATTGAATGAAATATATTTACACTGTAAGAAATAATGTGACAGAAATGTGAAATTAGGACGGACTGGAATTTTATTTCGTAAGAAAATCTAAATTTTTAATTTTCATTTATGTTTTTATATTTTGTCATCCTGACGGTAATTGATTGAAAATATGATTTAAGACCCCATAAGTGGTATATATTTTCAATTACCTTATGATACTACGACAATATAAAGACGGCTATTGTGACCGTATGTATATCCATCCGACCGTTCATTCTAACTTTTGATAGGATCGTTCTTAAGTTTTGCCCATAGAAACTTGAATAAAAACACTCGGTGAATAATGTCGCTAAAATCATCAAAATGCCGAATATAGGGAGGTACCGTTATATTGGGGCTATTTGAAGACATGGAGCTGCACAGACAATTTTCTCTCTAAGGCTGTAGTATCAATTACGAACTTCAAATAAAAAATTTGAAACAATTCCGGTAAATAATGTTGCTAAAATCATCAAAATACCGAATATCGGGAGAAACCGTTATATGGGGGCTATACCCAAAACGTGGGCCCACACGGCCCAGTTTCGATACCAAAAGTCCTGCAGATATAATATGCATTTGAGTAAAATTTTATCAATCTACTTCAATTCGCTCGGAAGCTAGAGTGATTTCCACAGGGTCAGACGGATAGACGGACGGACATCGCTAAATCGACATAGAATTTTATGATGATCAAGAATGTGGTCTAAAATGTATATTTCGAGGTCTTACGAACGGAATGACAAAGTTAATAAACCTTCCATACTATGGTGGAAGGTATGAAAATTATAGATCCAGGTTTTTCTATAGTCCCAAATAACTCTACAGCTTGTGTCCAAGTATTTAAAAGGTTTTGGCTACATTTCCGATGGTCTTAGCAACAATATGTTTTTAGAATTATCTGTGAGTATATCAAATCATCCCAAAAAAATCAGAGTTTGTCCAAGTTTTAATATCGGAAACTGATTGACCTTTTGGGTAAAGCAGTGGGGTCCGCTTCTGAACAAGGTTCCATACAGGGTGAGATTAGAAATCTGCAAAAAAGTCAAACGCCATAATTTTTACATTTTTATTATAAATTTAATTGAATCAAATCAAAAAATGTCGGAAATAGTATCTTTTAGAATAAGTTTAGATTTGTACGAATTGGTCGAACGAAATAAAGTAGGTTGATAAAATACTTAAATGTGTATAATGTCTGCAGGACTTTTGGTACTGAAAATGGCCCATGTAGATCCACGTCTTCTTATAGCCCCCATATAAAGGTACCTCCCAATATTCGGTATTTCGATGATTTTAGCGACACTATTTACCGGAACTCTTTAAAATTTGGTATTTAAAGTTCGTAATAGATACTACAGCATAAAAAAGAAAATGGGTCATGTAGGTGCACGTATTCGTATAGCCCTCATATAACGGTACCACCCGATATTCGGTATTTTTAAGATTTTAGCTACATTATTTACCGGAACTCTTTCAAATTTGGTATTTAAAGTTCGTAATAGATACTACAGCATAAAACAGAAAATGGGCCATGTAGGTCCACGTCTTCGTATAGTCCCCATGTAACGGTACCACCCGATATTCGGTATTTTTAAGAATTTCAGCGACATTATTCACCGGAATTGTTGCAAATTTAGTATTTGAAGATCGTAAGAGATACTACAGCCTATAACAGAAAATTGTCTGTGCAGGTCAACGTTTTCATATAGCCCCCATATAACGGTGCCCGCTATATTTGGTATTTTGTTGATTTTAGCTACATTATTCAACGGAATTGTATCAAATTTGGTATTTGAAGTTCGTATTGAATACTACAGCCCATGACAGAAAATTGTCTGTTCAGGTCCTGGTCTTCGCATAGCTCCTATATAACGTAACCTCCCAATATTCAGTATTTTGAAGATTTTAGCTACATTATTTACCGGAACTATCTCAAATTTGGTATTTGAATTTCGTAATGAATACTGCAGCATATGACGGAAAATTGCTTGTGCAGGTCTACGTCTTCGAATAGCCCCCATAGAACGGTACCCAATATTGGGTACTTTGATGATTTTAGAGGCATTATTCACCGGAGTAGTTTCAAATTACGAGTTTAGAATTCGAATAGAATATTTTTAAAATTTTAACAGAATTTTTAACGGATTTAATTTTTTGAAAATTTTCAAATTCGTTCCGAATGGTGGAGGGTATTCGAAGCCGACTGAACTTACTGCTTTTGAAATAATTTTATGGAATATTTTGTCTCGTTACGATCCCGTTTAAAGTTTTTAGCTATATTTTAAAAAAGTAAGGATTAACATTTAATGGAGACACTATAAATTTAAAGTGCACGGATTGCGGGGAACTTTAATCGGAAAATTTCCGAAAGTGTGCTAAAGGGAGAAGATTGCACCCTCTATTTTGGTTACTTTTCGTTGTAAAAATTCGAAAATCCGATACACGTGTTTTCTTCTAAACCTCTTGTATATTAGGTAAATTTTTAAGTCCACTTTTCTGTCAATATATTATCATAGAAATATTCAATAATTTATGACATAGGAACACCAATAAAGGTCGTGAGGCACTGAATTAATCCCATCATCTTGAAAACGTCCTAGTTTCTCTGTTTGTTGTATCTACAGTCCTTTTTTCCCTTTTACTTAGAGAGTTCTCTACTACTTACTCCATACTGTGCAAATTGGATCCCACCCGTTTTTACCATCTTAACAATTATAAAATCATGTCCATTGACATTCCAAATTGGTTTGGTGCCACCTTCCCAGCGATGAATATCACACTTTTTTACTATCACCACTTAAGTATGCAATTTTATTACTATTCCCCTGCTCTCAATGTCTGAACGTATTACCACTACCATTCATGACACAAAAAGGTGTATCCGAAATCACCCCACTCTATGGCAACACTCATTCCATACAGATGAGTTGTCATTAAAATACTCCTGACCAGACTCCCAACCAGCACCACCGCTACAACCACCGTCATAGTGTGTGACAGTTGTAAATAATCATTTATGCACTCGTCCTGCTTCTGTTTTCATCGTGTGGTTGTTATTTTATTTCCAGGGAATTGCACGTATTGAATAACATCGACAGACACTGTCATTCAGAGTTCATGTCGCTGAATTTCGAATACCAGTATCGAATATTTCGAGCAATTGATTGTTAATTTGTGGCAATGATTTTCATTATGGTGACAAAATGAGTGCTTTGACTTGCAATTCAGTATTACACTGGGGAAATGGGGGAAGGGGGAAAAAAGGGAAAATAATAAATTGGTGATGGTTTAAATGTAGAATTTTCGGCTTCAGATGTTATAATTTTTTATATACGATCAAAATTTGTCGCTTAAGAATTATGGTTTTAGACTCTATGTTGTCTTGAACGAAATTATTTTAATGAGATTTGGAGTCTACAGGATGAGATTAAACTCCACCTTAGGGTAAAGGAAACATTAGAAGAAATGTGGCAAAAACCATTAAAATGTCGAATATCGGGAGGTACCGTAATATGGGGGCTATACCAAATCGTGGACCTACACATGCAATGTTTCGCCAAAGGAGCTAAAACCCCTTATGACCTACAAATACCAATTTTCAGACAAATCCGTGAAAAAACGTGGCATAAATCATGAAAATACCGAATATTGAGAGGTACCGTTATATGGGGACTATACCAGAACGTGGACCGATACATCTCATTTTCAATACCAACCATCCTAGACACAATACAAATTGCTCTGCTAAATTTTGGCGCTCTACGTCAAATAATGTGGGCTGTATCGTGATTTCAACAGACAGACGGACAGATAGACAGACGGACGGACAGACAGACAGACGGACATCGTTAAATCGACTTAGAATTTTATGCTGAATATGAATATATATACTTTACGGGGTGTACGACGAATATTTAAGGATGTTACAAACGGAATGACAAAGTAAATATACCATCCTTTCCAAGGTGTGGGGTATAAAAACTGCAACAAAGTCAAACGCCATAATTTTTAAATATTTTATTGAATGAAAGCAAAAAATTTCGGAAATAGCTTCAAATTTTAGAATAAGTTTAGATTTGTTAGAATTGGTCACCTTTGGCACGAATTGTGGCCTTCAAAAGAATAATGAAACCGTCACACGCTTCCTGAATGTTGTTCTGCAGCGAAGCGCTTGCTTGAGGTGATCGACACTTTGGTATTTTTAGTGCCAACATTGCTTTCCAAAATACTCCAGACACAATCGTCCAACGGATTGGTATCTGGAGAATTTGGTGGCCATTGTGCGCTGGAAATGAAGCGAGGAACCTCATTTTGTTACAATTTTTGAGTCCTGTTGGAATGTCCAAGGTCTGCGGTCAAAATGCTTGCGTGCCAAAGGCCTTTAAGACACTTTGGTATTTTTAGTGCCAATCTTGCTTTCCGAAATACTCCAGACACAATCGTCCAACGGATTGGTATCTGGAGAATTTGGTGGCCATTGTGCGCTGAAAATGAAGCGAGGAACCTCATTTTGTAACCATTCTTGGGTGGCGCGTGCTGAGTGCGATTGTGCTTAGTCCTTTTGGAATGTCCAAGATCTGAGTCCAAAATGTATAATACACCCTCCAGAATATTTTCGCGATAATATTCGGCATTTATTCGATTAATACAAGCGGAGAGCGACCAATAGCTGTTATGGCGGCCCACACATGGCGGCCGGCGTTTGAGTTCTGCTGGCCAACCGAAGGTGCACATTTTCAGCTGACCTCTTTGGCAAGTATACACGATGATTTTGTTTGTTTACAAACTGCTGGACCAAATTCGGCAGTTCACCACTTTCGGCCAAGCGAAACAACTCTTTGGCTCCTTTGAGTCTATTTTCTTTCTGTAGTGGTGTAAGTTCTTGCCCTTTTTGAAATTTCAATGGCTTT